CGTACTGTACACGCTCAAGAACAGGTTGCAGCAGAGGAAGAGTGAGAAGAGTTCCACTCTGAGGAAAACGATTCAAGAAGAGAAAAGCCACTATAAAATGTCGGCGACTCCAACGTCGTCGTGGGCACGAACTGCAACGTAGATTGGAGTTTTGCACCTCAAGGCTCTAACTACAGAACCGAAACGATGAACTTCTTGAATCTTCTATATGCGTGCCGCCTTTTTCATGGAAAGTCCATGTTCGAAAAGCCAGCTAAGCGATGGGCCGGGAGAACAGTCGACGCATACAAAAATAGAGCATGTATTCACTTCAATAGAGCATTTCAATCGAAACTGTAGTCTATTCGATGTGTCCTATTGCCCTCTTTCGACACCGGCTAGGCCATCGCCTAGTGCGCGCAAAAATACGACTTAACAAGCAGGTATTCAAGCGCGAGTAGCACAGGCCGCACATTCCATGGCTCCCTTCTTTGATCAGAGATTTTAGAATCCGCCATTGGAGCTTATGCTTGGCGCGCAAAAAAAATGCGCAAAAATACGACTTAACAAGCGGAAGTTCAAGCGCAACACGCAAAGGCCCGCACATTCTAGGACACCCTTCTTTGATACTACTACTCGAATATGCCATTGGAGTTTACGATTGGCGTCTTTTAGAGGATCCTATAGAGGACTACGAATACCTGAAAAGAGGCTTGCTCAGGTGTGCAGACATCGTCCGCCGTTCGCAGCCAGCCCGAATTCCGAGATTGAATGCTCTTGCGGTCACACTCTTAGGGAATCTATTCGGGCGTATCGGAGAAACTGCCGAGGCAAGCATCACACGCTCAAACGAAAGCTCACTGATCAGAAAGTTGTCATGTAGGTTCTCATGGACAAGGAAGGGTAAAAACGTCTAGTCTATGGAAAACATCGTTCAAGATTTCTACACCAAGTTTTTCTGCTCCTCCACCTTGGTGACTAAATGCCCGATGCCACCTGATGAAGAGCCTCCCGCTCTCCTAGAAACGAAAGTGGCATACGCGATGAGACGCATGAAGAAAGGTTCGAATTCTATCCCTCCGAATTTGCTCAGTTCTGGAAGTACCGCTCTTCACACCCTTCTTGCAGAACACTTGAACAACTTCCCCAAATCAAGGAGGATTCTAAAGCAGTGGAAAGAATCAAAATCCATTCTCACATTTAAGAATGTCAGCGGCAAGGTATCTCCAAATACCGTCCCATCAGCCTTCATCGGTGATGTATAAGCCGTTCACGAAAATTCTGTTCAATCGCGTGGAACGCATCTTGGATGAATACCAGCCAGTGGAGCAGACCGGATACAGGAAAAACTTTTCGTGCATGGATAGCACCCAAGTAGTCGCTCAGCTTATTGAGAGAAGCCGACAGCATTGCCTTCCTCCAGCCCTTGTCTTCATGGATTTCGAGAGGCCTTTCGTGGTGAAGTGTTATTAAGGTGAACGCTGTTCTAAATGTTCTTGTGCAAGCCGGGCTTGTACTCCTCATATTCTGCACATTCTTGTCGGTTTCTTCGCCATCGACTTTATTCTGCGCTAAACATTCGTTCTTTAATTCGAAAACGTACCTCAAAATATTTATGAATGTGCCTTCAATTAACGAAGTAGGGGTGCTGATTCCTATAATACTTATTTGTACACTTGCGTTCTGACGCAGATATCTGCATTCATGAACGCATTCTGAGTCGGAACAAGTACCATGAATCTGCGTCGAAATGCACAAGTCTGCGACAGAACGCAAACACTACGGATGTTGTACGTACTGGGCGTCGTCACAGTGTGAAGTCAATGCCAGTGGAACGTGGTTGTAGGCATGGGAGTGTGGGTACTGTAAATTTGCCCACTCACCCACCCCATTGCCAGAATTTTGGTTACTGGGCTGCGCATTTATTTGAGCTTCTGGTAAGCGTTGCAACAAGGTCTACTGCATTTGGACACTTGGATAGGGTCAACAACAAATCAGGGTCTCGGAACCATTTCTTAGTCTTTGATGTCTGTGAACATTCGAAATACCTTACAATGAAGCAGTTACTCTGGACAAACCTGCAAAACAACATTAGGCTTATTTGTAAATATATGTATGTATCTCCATCCTCGATGATTTTATGCGAATATGAAAAATAGCGACAAAAAAACTGTGACGACAATATTTCCTTTAAAAGCAGCAGAATCGTAGAAGACTGTGTAAGCTGTGGTCTCTAAAACGTTTGGTAACGTACAGCAACAAGAATCTGAAAAATAAAGTTGATGCAACTCGAAAAAAAGCGTTCTCATTCAGGAAACTCTGTGTCTCAAGCTTCCAGCGAACGAAAGAACTATAATGAAAATGCATAAAAAAGTTTTGACTGCTGGTTACATGAAGCCTATTACACACCGTTTCCAATACTCATTAGCACTAATATCGATAATAACTGTTTTTGAGGTTATGGTTGCAACGAGAGATGTGAGGAATTCATGCACGAGTGGGCATTAAGAAAAATTAGAAGGTTGAATTAACGACAAAGTAATGAAACTATTGTGGCACCTAAGGCGGAAGTAGTTGCAATCAGGACATATTGAGTGTCAACGGCTCCACGGTTGGAGATCAGGCGAACTTGAGAAGGATTCGATAGAGGCGTGGATCTGTGCAAAGTCGGCACATTCGGAAGTCAGTTCCGCGACATGAGTTAAGCCATTTAATGCCAGATCGAGGGGCGAAACTGAGAGGGGTTGTACTCCACAACAAGCATAACAAAAACTTAATGTACTACACAATCCCTACATCCGAAATTGGCACATTGAACTATAAAAGGAGCAAAAGCAGTCTTTTCGAACGTTGTGCCCGCTTCAAAGAACTCACCGACATGCATCTAGCAGTGCGAACCAGTTACATCCTGATAGAGGATCGCATGTATGCGATTACGAGAGAAAATAATGTATAAACTAGTTCAAAGAAAGCAAAACAACAAACTGAAGCTCATGTTGTGGCACGTTGTTATACAAATGAGAAAAAAAAACGGACTGAAAAGCAAACAAACGTTATTATAGTCTACACAAAGCAATGGGATATTAAGGCAAGTCACAGGAACAAAGTCTTGAAACGTTAAATTTGCATTCTACTTTGGATTACAAACTAAATTATTCACGAACCTATACATACGGTGTCGGGGTTATGTATTTGGCACTGAACATTCGTTGTGCATCCGATGAACAGTTTGACACCGCCGTTGGGACATAGAGAGTATGCATCACACGCTAAATCAAAGTTATTATTAACAACGATTGCTCAGATTTGCTTGATCAAGGAAGCAATCTCGAGTTTTATGCAGTAAATGAGGTCATGAAGCGAAAAAAGAGAGGTATGCATGATTGAGCCGCTTCCCACTGCAACCGACCGCGACCCCATTGTTTGGATCCCTCTATCTATGCTATCGTAATATTAGTTCGATAAGTATGTCTGTTGGATTTTCTCTATGTTCGTGTGTGTGTGTGTGCGTGGGTGTTTGTTTGTCTTTTTGTGTGTGTTGCATGTGTTGTGTGTTGTGTCTGTTGCGTGTATGTATGTACGTGTACGTGTATGTGTATGTGTTTATGTGTGTGTATGTATGTGTGTGTGCGTGTGTGTGTGGCCGGGAATTCATAACTGCTGTTCCCGTGAACCTAGGGCACTGAAATTTGGTAGGAGTACAGGCGGCAAGACGGTAGCAGGTAGCAGGACCGGCCTGCGCGAAATAAATGGTTCAACGGATATACATAGCTCCTGTTCATGTGGACCTGATGAGTCCTAATTGAGAAGGATAACAGCTTTTCATATTAACGGTGGTACCCCGGTAATTTAATAAGTGATGTAGGATGTGACGGAATCGTAGGTACTCGCCGAGAGGAACCGATGACAACTGATAAGAACAGATAAGGGGCCTAACAATAAAAGAGCAAGAGCCACCTACCGATTGGAATCTAAGCCTCCGGTATTTACGATGTAGCCTTGACTGTTAAGTTTGTTTCATTTCATGAGACGGGATGGTAGAGTAGGGGTGACAAACGTGAGAAGTAAGTGCAGTGATGGGGACCCATTAGCAGCACTACGATAAGCAGCCAAGAATCTTGTTCATTTCTTGCTATTAGATTACGACCGCTACGCAGCGAGATTTGTGACTCAATGGAGAATCCTCTTTGTTCGATATCGTTTTCGACAAAACTTAACCGACCACCAGTAATCAGGAATTCTCTGATTTCTCCTTAATGAAAACGGTTCTTTGATAACGACATCTGATAATGGTGTTATCATCACTCGAAACATTCGTGAGTAACGCCCAAGGCTTTGGTAGCCTAACAGTTCAGTCATTTTTGGGATTTAACTTTGAGATTGAGAACAAAAGATCGAGACTTCACCTACAGACGTAAACCCGACTCACACTGAACACCATCTGCACTGCCCTGTTAGTCCAGGGCAAACTCCGTGAACAGGAAAACATTATTTGTTCCAAAATTTAGCCAGTTACAACAACTTTGTCGAAGGAGGGAAGGCCAGCGTTAGCCGGGCGAACTGACTGGTGTTGTACAAAAGGGTACTCGCAGCAGTGACATGCTTATTTGCATTCCTGAAAAAATACAGCGGTTCAATTCGTTGCTTTTCGATCTACACGCAGAGTGATTTTCGTGTTATGAAATTTCATGCTTATGAACCGCTCAGAATGGGGATCTGGTATATCATGATGGACATTCATTCAAGAAAAAATGCCTTTGACGTGTCAGCTCTAAAGGAAACAAATAATGAAGAGAATTACCAGCTACCACAGAATTAGAATAAAGCGAAGTTTGAACGTGATTATTTTCGTCCACTACATTAGTTTCAGCGAGAAAACAAGCACGTCGTAATAATAAAACCTTAGCGCTGTTTGCTTAAAATGAGGCAAACCTTGCCATGTGCCAGTGAAGAAGTTTTTAAATGCAAAGCTGGTTACAAATATGACTAGATGGGCATGCCGTGTCTTCTTATTCCACCAGTTAGAAGCTAGTCACAGGGATGAACAGTGAAAAGAACCAAAATGAAATCATGAAATACTCACGCACGTCCGAGAAAAAACGGTATGGCTCCGTACCACAAATATATTTCGATTGCCTTTTTGCTATCGTGTGATTACCGCCACTAGCAGCAACCTCTGCACGGAAATGTGAGAGTATAAGGACTGTAAAAAGGCAGACATACATCGAATCTGGAACGGCTGCAGGCAAGAGCCTCGCTTTGTGTGGTCGAGCATCTGCTGTTTGTTCAGCAGCTTTCTGTTTGGTAGATTGTTCAGTACCGTTTTATTCATGCAAACGTCATTGTTCGTGGACCAGAAAATGTTGAGTAGCCTATATCAGGTGGACCAGAAAAACCATAAGAAAAGAAAAAGCATATTTTCACATCGATAATTTCATTTTCCGAAATTATTCAGTGAGCAGCATTTACAATAAGCCGTTCTTTGCTATCTTCTGCAGTATTAGACCCACAAAGAATAAGTTATTTGAGTCGATAGAAACTCGGATTTCTTCTTTCAGCACCATTACCCGTTTTAGCTGCGCCACAATGTATGGAACAACATAACAGACGCAATATGTGAGTTTGGTCTCCATTTTATAAAATGACTTCAAGCGCAGAAGAAGCTACATATTCATCCAAAGTTAGAAGCCACCGGGCGTAAACCGACCCAAAAATAGACACACTAAGTTACCGCTTTATATATAGAGAGATAACTACTCAAAGGCAAATTCCAGGCGTAACAGTATCGATCGTATAAAGGGTTCGCATGAAACCATGCCAATCAAAATATAGATCCCAAGAAGGCTGGCCGAATAAGAAGGCAAATATACAACACTGGTGGAAAAAGACATTTTAAAAACTGGCGCCTGATTTCACCGCGTGTAAGTTGTTTTTTTTTTGTTTACAGAATATCACGCATTTTCTGATAACAAACTCCCCAAATACTATCTTTCAAAAATTCGAGCATGTAGTATGAAGCTTCATGGTGGATCGCGTTTATTTAGTGGAAGGTTCTGCAG